CGACCAGGCCTCCACCCCAGGAAGCAGCCTGTGACAGCTGACTAACACCCAGGTACCTATTTACTGCTAGGTAACAGGGGCATTCAGGGTGAAAGAAACTTTGCCCATTTGTTTCTGCCTCGTGCGGGAATCGAACCCGCGCCACAGAATTACGAATCCTGCGCGCTATCCACCAGGCTACGAGGCATAAAGAAACTGGAAGTGAAGATTCTTTATTACTTGAGCAGGAGGAATATTGCATAAATTGTTGACACGTGTGGTTTCTGCAATTAGTTTTCTTGCCCCTAGAGGTTTGCCATTTCATGGAGAAAATCAGATTATTGGGTCAGCAAAAAATTGTAACTATTTAGGTATACTAGAGCTGCCGAGTGAATTTGACCCTTTCTTGGAAAAACATACCAAAATGTATGGAAATCCTGGAAAAGGGAATCCATCATATTTATCTACAAATATTTGAGAGGAATTTATTGAATTAATGGGACAACAGGTTTTTTGTACTATTCTTGAAGAAGTATTATTCAATAAGTGTAGATTCCACTTCAGACATCTCACACACATTGAGATGTGTGGATTGGATTGAAGGATGGCTTGAAGGATTGAGGAGGATTGAAACAGAGGATGATAGTAGGAGGCTACAAGATGACCTAGACAGACTGAGTGAATGGTCCAACAAATGGCTGTTGAAGTTCAGACCCGAGCAAATGCAAAGTAATGAAACTAGGCAGTGGAAACAGGAGGCCAGACACAGGATACAGAATAGGAGGTGAAGTACTTAATGAAACAGACAGAGAGAAAGATCTAGGCATTGATATCACACCAAAACCTGTCTCCTGAAGCCCACATAAAAAGAATAACGTCTGCGGCATATGCGAGGCTGGCTAACATCAGAACAGCGTTCAAGAACCTGTGCAAGGAATCATTCAGAATCTTGTACACCACATATGTAAGACCAATCCTGGAGTATGCGGCCCCAGCATGGAGCCCGTACCTTGTCAAACACAAGACGAAGCTGGAAAAAGTCCAAAGGTATGCCACTAGACTAGTCCCAGAACTCAAGAGTTACGAGGAAAGGCTGCGGGAAATGCACCTTACGACACTGGAAGACAGAAGAGTAAGGGGAGACATGATCACACCCTACAAAATCCTCAGGGGAATCGACCAGGTAAACAAGGATAACCTATTCAACACTGGTGGTATGCGAACAAGGGGACACAGGTGGAAACTGAGTACCCACATGAGCCACAGGAACATTAGAAGGAACTTTTTCAGTGTCAGAGTAGTTAACGGATGGAATGCATTAGGCAGTGATGTGGTGGAGGCTGCCTCCATACAGTTTCAAATGTAGATATGATAGAGCCCAGTAGGCTCAGGAATCTGTACACCAGTTGATTGACAGTTGAGAGATGGGACCAAAGAGCCAAAGCTCAACCCCTGCAAGCACAAATAGGTGAGTACAAATAGTTGAGTACACACAGCAACATTTACTGTCAGTATTAAATACATTATAAATAAATACGTTTCTTGATGTTTATCTCCATCTTTTCTCATGAAGCAAAGGATCTAACAGACACTAATGTGGATTATCTAAATGAGAACAAAATTCGACTATCAAACTGCCATGGTCAGTCATATGATAATGCTTCAAATAAGTCTGGACAATATACAGTACTGGATTGCAAGCACGAATTCATCAACTCAATGCGTTTGCCATATATGTTCCCTGTGCCAGACACAGCCTGAACTTGGTAGGGGATTTAAAAGCAGCAGTGTTGTCTACAGACTGTCAAATTCTTTGACTTTGTTCAGCATTTATATTCATTTTTTGCTGATTCTACTCATTGTTGGAATGCAGACATCTTTAGGAAAAGATTTTGTGGTCAAACATCTGTCTGACACACAATGGACAGCACATTTTGATGCTGTTCATGCTCTGAATGGGGGTTTCAAGAAAATAAAAATGCATTGGATTCAGCTGACAATGAACAGCAAGTGAATATAAGGTGAGAGGCAGAAGGATTGAGCACAGGGCGAACCATGCTCACCCGGGAAGAAAGAGGGAGTGCATACGGAACCAAGGCCAAAGCGACCAATTGCCCCAAATCCGAGTCCCTAAAACCAAAGCGAGCTCCTGGGCCTCCAACCGGGCAACCAACCTGGCCTGTTGCAAGAAGGAAAATCATGCATGCAATGCGGCCATCGCCTAATCCCTGAGATCATCAGATAAAGGACAAGTAAATTGAAGCTCAAGTGGAGAACAAGTCCCGCAAGACTTTGGGTTGTAGGTGTCCCCAACCCAAAAGGCAGCATGACAGAAGCAGTACGGATGATCGTCTCCCTGAGGCAGGGGCGACGAATAACCTTCAACTTTCCACAAGATGAGAGTGGGCTCGGAAGAAGTATCCATGGTACGACCGAGCCCAAAGGGGTTTTCCAGGGCCTGTAGGGTGAATAAGCCATATGGGAAGCTCAGGCACTGAGGGCAGCATTTTGCCTGCTACAGAACCTTGTCTGAAGCAGGCAAATTGACTGCCAGTAGCAGTTGTGAAACCTTAGGGGGGCAACAGGAGGACCTCCTATACAACCTAGGCAAGCCTAATATGGATCTAGGCAGACCACCTCTGTCTACAACAGGTGAAAACGCCAAAAACTGAAAACAAAAACCCACGAAATCACACAACTAGTAAACTAGTAGTCAGATAGAAACATCAGCCACCACGTTGATAGTAAAGCTGGTTGCACTAGCCGCAGTACGCCCTTACCAGGGGCAAGAGGGAAAGACCCCAAGACCTTGACAGATCCCAAGGACAAAGACAACCACAAGCGAGGAAGTTCTCAACGGGAAGTGAATCTCGAATGCCCCATGGAAGATACTGTAACGCTGAAACATAAGGGTTATGGAGCACCTAGGGGAAGGGAACCCTAGGTGCATGCAGTGCCTGTACACTAATAAACCTGGCCACCTCACAAAACACAAGCCGTAACAGCCATACATAGCAAAAATCCATTACAGGAATTTGAGGCCAAAGGCGATGTCTGACTGCCAGTACATCAGTTCAAGAACTGGGGTGATGGGCTGCCAATTCACCCAGGGTAGCTCCCACTCCCTGCAAGGGGAGGAGGGGATAGTTGGATGACATAGTGCATGTTTGTTTTCTTTCTGGGGGAGATATTTTGCTCTTTTTGAGGACATAGATTGTAAAGTGTAACCAGACATCAGTCTGTTTTTATTCACCTACCTTTCTGGGTCCTTACCCGGTCAATGGCAATTATGACACTTTAAATGTAAAGTGTTCATAGGCCATTGCTCCCTGTGCCTCTCTGAGAGGGTCCAAGTTCTGGCTCTGGTTCCCGGTAGGCAATGGACTCTGAGACTGAAGACCCCAAACTAATATAGCACTATATTAGTCCAAGGAGACGACATGGCTTCCACCCAGTAAAGAACTAGAAAGATGGTGGGGATACAATGAGCCAACCTGTTCTCGCACTTGCTTACAGTCAATATTGGCTTATTTATTAAGTGCATATGTGACATACTAATTGATTGTGAATATTTTAGTTTACCTTGAAAAGCTTCATAGAAAACACCGACCTCACCTAACCTTCTTAGTATGTTAAGATAAGCATCTTATTGCTTCTTAATTACAATTATTACTTAACCTATACCGTTGATAGGTTAAGTAATAATTGTAAATAAGAAGCAATAAGATGCTTATCTTAACATACTAAGACGGTTAGGTGAGGTCGGTGTTTTCTATGAAGCTTTTCAAGGTAAACTAAAATATTCACAATCAATTAGTATGTCACATATGCACTTAATAAATAAGCCAATATTGACTGTAGGCAAGTACGAGAACGGGTTGAATGTGCACTTGCTTTGGTAGCACCAGCTTATGGTTGATCAGGTGTCACCAGCTCCACGTTGTTGGGTCCACCACGTGGCGATACGGGGTATAACTAGCAATGATAATGACCTAAGTACAATACTGTGTTCCTTGTTGTTAGGGTTCTTATTACTTTCCCTGCAGTTGTGTGTTTCAGAGAGCATTACCTTTCAGGTGGTACTTCCTCTTGGTCTAGGTTGGTGTAGAATCCCCAGCTCCCTGTACATCTGAGTGGACCAAATTATGTCTTTGGTACGTGTTTATGATTGAGAGGGTCTGGTGGAGCATGATACGTGTAAACCTATCCAGGTAGCCAGCTCGGGGAACCATTGAGGGATCCCTTGAAGAAAACAGTCACTTTTAACGTTGCAGTGTTCAGTTTCCACTGTAGACTACTGACTGCTTACTTGATCAATTCCATGAAGCATCTCTGTCATCTTGAGATATCCAGCAGATGATCCGGGGCTGTAGTGGTAAGACACTCGCCTGGCGTCCGCGAGTGCTATGTCATGGGTTCGTATCCTGGCCGGGAGGATTTACTGGGCGCAATTCCTTAACTGTAGCCTCTGTTTAACGCAACAGTAAAATGTGTACTTGGATGAAAGAACGATTCTTCGCGGCAGGGGATCGTATTCTCGGGACCGTAGGATTAAGGACTTGCCCGAACCGCTACGCGTACTAGTGGCTGTACAAGAATGTAACAACTCTTGTATATCCTCAAAAAAAATAATAAAAAAAAAAATTTGCAAGAAGGCTGCCATGACCACTCTAGGAAAAATATTTTGACACAATATCCAGGAATGTTCTCAACATGCATGAAGGCTGCCATGACCACTCTAGGAAATATATTTTGACACAATATCCAGGAATGTTCTCAACATGCATGAAGGCTGCCATGACCACTCTAGGAAATATATTTTGACAATATCCAGGAATGTTCTCAACATGCATGTGCCAAATTTTATCCTGCTATCACAAAATGTACATGTTTGTAATACCATGCCACTTGTGGAAAAAATAATCAGCAAGCATATTACCTAAACGGGTTGCTTCCTGGGGGTGGAGGCCTTAAATAAAAGCTCTTACCTCAAGTTATTTAAAACCTTAAATAACTCTTACCTGTTTAAGATCTTGTTCAGATATGACAACTGGTTGTGGAGGAGTAGCAACAGGGAGGTGTTGAGTAGGTGGAAGTGTGTAGACAGGCACAGAGGTATATCCAGGGTATGAATATGATCCTGGTGGAACCATCATTACCTGTCCCATGCTCAGTGCCTGTGGCAGGATTGGAGCAGTCTGAAAATGTGAAATAACGGTATACTAGTAACGGTTAGTCTCTAAAATCGAGAGAAGCAAGCATTGCCATCTTTATCTTTTCATCATGTAAATACCAATATACGTTTTGATTAAATGCAGACAATGAAAAAATGAACTCTAAGGTCTAATTAGCAATATTTTATTTATTTATTTATTTATTTATTTATTTATTTATATACAAGAAGTTACATTAGGTGTTAACAAAGAATGTAGAAAATAAGTTGAATTAACATTCTTGTAAAGACACTAGCACGCATTACACTAGCACTAGCACTAGCACTAAAGACACTAGCACGCACTAGACACTAGGGGCCTCGTAGCCTGGTGGATAGCGCGCAGGACTCGTAATTCTGTGGCGCGGGTTCGATTCCCGCACGAGGCAGAAACAAATGGGCAAAGTTTCTTTCACCCTGAATGCCCCTGTTACCTAGCAGTAAATAGGTACCTGGGAGTTAGTCAGCTGTCACGGGCTGCTTCCTGGGGGTGGAGGCCTGGTCAAGGACCGGGCCGTGGGGACACTAAAAAGCCCCGAAATCATCTCAAGATAACCTCAAGATAACATAGCGTTTTGGGCAAGATACAATACACTTGATAGCAGAAGCCAACAGTCCCACAAACCCATCATAACCCAGCTGCTCAGGTACCTACTGATAGCAGAAGCCAACAGTCCCACAAACCCATCATAACCCAGCTGCTCAGGTACCTACTGATAGCAGAAGCCAACAGTCCCACAAACCCATCATAACCCAGCTGCTCAGGTACCTACTGATAGCAGAAGCCAACAGTCCCACAAACCCATCATAACCCAGCTGCTCAGGTACCTACTGAAAGAATCCATTTTACCTGTGGTCCCCACTTGAAGATTTCAAACCTTTGTTCTTGAAACATTTCTTGTGTGCGTTTGTATAAAGGTAGCCACTGGCCTCTGATATTTTGAACAGTTCTCTGAATAAATGTATGACATCCCCCCACTCTTCACTGGATCTTTTCTGCATTTATTTACCAAATATTTTGCCCCAAATAAACTCATTCCTCGCCAGAAAAAACGAGACGGCAGCAAACGAACAAGAAGGAGCTACAGAAAAACCAACCTGAACCGAAGGGGCCACAACAAACCGAGGTGAAGACAGAAACAAGAACACACCGGCCAAAGACCAGGAAGGCACAGCTGGCGCATGAGCAGGCCAGAGGCAAACACCGCCTGTGACAGCCCGGGCAACGGTGCAGAAGGAATATCAAAACCGAAAGCAAACTGTACCGGCTCCGCCAGCGCCACGCAAGAGAAGGACATGACCATGTCAACAAAATCTGTCGGATATCTACGAAGAGACAAAAAGAAAAGGAAGGACTGCCAGCAAAACCCCATACCACTGCCGAGACGAAGCACGCAGGTGGATCGCCGGCGCCGTGGTCTGGGGCTCTCCCTTCCCCCTCCCGGGAAGGGAGGAGCTGCGCAGACATGCGGCGCGGCTCATGTGACGTTATGCTTGTTTGCTCGTTTTCACTTGGAGAGTTCTGTCTACTTGTTTGTCTATTTTCATTGTTTTTAACCAGAATAGGGGTTTGTTTTGGGGTGCTTACCTTTCTGGGTTCCAGTGTAGTTGGAAGCATTCTATGTCTGCAATTGACTGGGTCAGGCACCCAGAAAGGTAAGTGCCTTTCAATCCAAAACAAACCTCTATTCTAGTTAAAACACTGCTACAGAAAGCCGAACAAGTGAACAGAACTCCCCAAATGAAAACGAGCAAACTAGCATGACGTCACCACGTTGCAGTGCCGCTGTCTGCTCAACCTCCCCCCCCTTCCTCTCCCCGGGAGGGGGAAGGGGGAAGCCCCAAACCCTCACGCCAGCTATCCTGCAGTTCTCGGGCTGGATGTCAAAACACGCCAAAAAAACACCGACCGGAATGAGAGAGGGTTGCCGGTAAGACTCCAGGTCCCACCCAGAAAATGGCATTTCATTACATTCAACACTGGTTTTCTGGAGGATGCCCCTTTGGCTTCCCAGAGCTACCTAACCAAAGATAAGGAAAAAGCGGGATGTACTTGGGAGGTGATTGCCACTTACCCTAAACTCAAAACCAAGACAACTGGCAACACCGAATGACCCTGTGGACAATCCAGGAGACCCAAACCCTGAAACAGGGAAGAAGGATAAGTGGGTCAACCCAAAGCACGTCCCCGGCCACTGAAGCCGTGGCGCGCAGGTAACGGAGGAGAGCCGCGACCAGACACAACACATTACACACCCCCGGCCTAATCAACCAAACAACAACAACCCAAGGACCCCTCCAGAAAGCAGCCGACTCCTTCTTCATCAGAAAAGAGGGCGATGGCTGCAAACGAACATCTTACTACCAGGACCAAAAGAGCAGAAAACCCTGTGCCAGAAGAGAGCATGAAGCTCCCTGACTCGACCCCCAGAGCCCCAGAGGCCAATGCCTACAGGGAAAAGAGCTGTTGAAAACAATCCTGAACCAAAGGGGCCAATACAAACTGAGAAGAGAGAAAGGAGAGCACCAGTCCTAACGACCAGAACGACTCAGGCGGTGCATGTGCAGGCCGGAGGCGAAGGCGAAACAACGCATGAGACAGCTTGTGGAATGGAGCAGACGTAGCATCAATACCTAACGCAAGCTGCAGCAGCTCCGCTAAAGCCGCACGACACGAGGCGACAGTATTCGGCAGAAGATGACAGTCCTGGAACAACCATGAAAGAAGGGACTAGACACCCCCTATCAAAGACAGAAGTACACCTATGCAGAGATAGGAAATAACAGAAGAACTGCAAGGAAACTTCATACTGCCACCGAGACGAAGTACACAGGTAGGACACCATCAACGAGGCAACCTGCGCACCATACAAGTGATGATAGACTGGAGTCAGAAAGCCCAGACGCGAAGACTCGAGGCGAAGAGCGAACCAGCCACGTACCGGGCTGGACTGATCTGCTGAAAGAGGTGGAGCAGCGGGAAGACCCTTGGGTTCGGAAACCGAGCAAGCAGTGCCTAAAACTAATGCTGGGACGGCCACTAAGGAGTCAGAAGGACAACTCGCCCCTGGCAAGTCTCCAAGCGAGCCAGGACCTGGAGCAACAGCTGAACTTGGGAGGGAGGGGGGAAGAGGGAGGGGGGAAGGGGGAGGGGGGAAGGGGGAGGGGGGAAGGGGGAGGGGGGAAGGGGGAGGGGGGGGGAGAAGAAGTACAGGTAACCCCACCTCGCCCAGTCCTGCCTGAAGGCATCGACCCCGACGGCCTCGCAGTCAGGAAAGGTCTCCACATATATCGAGAGACGTCTCGACCACGCCGACGCGAAGAGGTCCACTGCCGGAGGCCCACACATGCGGCAGAGCCAACTGAACGAGTCGGCATTGACTATCCATTCCATGGACAGGGAAATGAACAGTGACAGGCAGACCTCCAGGACGCTGGACACCACCTGAACGTGAACAACTAGGAGAGCCAAAACCCGAGAACTCAGCAGACGAAAGATTCAGCCCCAAACAGCCAAGGACTGCATCGAACCCCAGCAGTTCAGACAATGAACCCCTGGGGGAAAAGTCTGAATGGAGCCGGATCGTCGCTCCATGAGCGACCCGAATCCTCTGGAGCGACATCCACACAGCTGCGAACTCTCGCACCTTGCTGTGAGATCAACGGAAGGATAGACCCCACCGTCCCTAGCCGACTTGGTAAGCACTGGTCACAAAGCCCCAGCCAAGAGACGACGTGTCTGTGAACACATAGAGCGAGGGCTCGGGTAGGTGCCAAGGCACTGAACACTGAAAAACCTGACAAGGAAGCCAGCGATGCAGCAATCGACACAAGGCCCCCAGCGTCCGAACCCCGCAAGAGAGGCGGAAGGGACGTCACCGAAGGAACCAGAACAGCCGACGAAGCCAAACCCAACCCGGCGGGAAGATCATCATGGCAAAGTTCAGGCTCCTGCACAAATCCTCGAACATCTGCCTCATGACCCAGGAGCCCCTCAGAAACATGCGAAGGCGGAAACACAGCCGAAGCAGAAGCTCTGGAGGGAGACACTAGGAAGCGGTCCAAACATCCCACACAAGACCCAGCCAAGACCAAATCTGAGAGGGAAGTAGATGGGACTTCCACCAGTTCCCTGGGAACCCGAACCCAGCAAGCTGGGAGCCCACACCAAACAGTCGTTGAGGTAGGCCAGAACCCAAACACCTAAAAGACGCAGACGGACCACCATGACCCGGGTAAGGCATGTGAAAATGCGAGATGCCATATTCAAACTGAAAGGAAGGCAATGAAAGCGGTAACCCTGATGCCCCAACAAAACAAAACCAGTCCCTGAAACTCGGATCAATCAGGACGTGCCAATACGCGTCCATGAGGTACAAGGACACCATCCAAGCACCCAGCTCAAAGAGAAGCCGGACCTGAGACAAAGTAGTCATCCAAAAGGAGGGGCAATAAGCTCCCGGGTTTAGTTAGCGCCAGTCCAGAATGATCCTGAGGCCCGCACAATCCTTTGTAGGAACTTGAAACAAGAGGAAAACCCACCTGAGGGACAAGGTCGTTTCAACCACGCCTAAGCGAATCCTCTCCGAGGCGACCTTACAGAGCGCAGGAAAAAAGAGAGGCCTACCCCGCCAATCCAGACCCTCCCGAAGTGGAGGGGCCACCCAATGCCATCTCAGGCCACACGAAACAACCCAAAAGGCCCACAAATAGTGGAACCAGGAGCGAGCAAACAGTGAGCCTCCCCCCCCCCCATTGCCCTATCAATGGGGCGAACCGTGAAAGGGCCTACGTCCCTTACGAGAAACCGACCGGCGCACAGAGCGATCACTGCGCCAACTAGACACAGACGGTTTTGAAGGCTGCACCGGCACTGAATCTGGCACCACTGGACTACCACGTCGGAAAGAAGCCCAAGCCCTGGTATGACCCTTCTGGGAAGGCCCCCAGGAGCCCCCCCCCCCCATCCGGAGAACCAACAAGTCC